CATTTAGGGAGGTGGCAGGGGTTCAAGAAGAAAAACACACTTACCACAGTGACTCTCTCAGATGCATACACCCAGTCTGGCTCCAGTCGATCTCTGCCCTCTCCATACGTCGAACTCGGCCGTTCCACCCCTGCATTCCTCCACCTCCCTTTTTCTCTCTTCTATTTTAAACTCTTCGTCCTCTCGCTACTCACCTTCCACCCTGACATCTCTTTGTGAATTCCATACCTCCTCTTTCTATTCTCACCCCTTCCGCCGGTCTCCTCGAGTTTTCTCGTCCCGGTCTCTCACTCTTCTTGAAGTCGTCCTCCAGCCGCTATTAACTTAACTGCATTTTATACTTACCCCATTTCCCTCTTTTTCTCTCTCATCACTCACTCTCTCTCTCCTTCACATTTAAACACATGCACACACATTCATCCTTTCCTCGCTGTGCACCAGACACTTAACCCTTGGAGTTCTGTGAGCCACTACCCTAAAAATAGTTTATGTAGCTTGGTGTCAGACAATCTCAATGTTTATTCAGTGTTGTGCTTTTCACATGTGTGTTTTGATTATTGTCACATATTATCCATATTTTAGGTTTAGACTAGTTTCTTCAGTAATTGGTCTTAAAAATGCTTATTAAAACTTATATTTAACCATTTCAGGTAAGTCTAATCTTTGTGAACTTGGGGAAAAAACAGCTTTGATACATATTTGTAGAGTTCCTTGGTTTATTAAAAAAAGGCCTTTTTTTTTTACTTTTAATAAACCACGCAACTGAACTTGGAAAATAGAAAAGAACAGCTTTTACATTTATTAGATTAAAACCTCTTTTTTTTTATTTTTTAACTTCATAACAAATATGATACTTTGTATAGTTACATTTTAATTTAATGTTAAGGCTCATACCCTAAATATTTCTTGAAAACACAAAAGATGTAACAGGCAGATAAAAGTACACAATATCTAAAATATATATAAATGCTTGTGAGTTAAGTGCTTATGATTTAACTGCTTTCAATATGTTTCAGTGTATTGTGCTAGAACCACACTAAAAAAAAAAGTGAAGTGACATGTGGCCAAGTATGGTGACCCATACTCAGAATTTGTGCTCTGCATTTAGCCCATCCAAGTGCACACACACAGACCCCCAGAGCCAATGCTGCGGTGCCCGGGGAGCAGTTGGGGGTTTGGTGTCTTGCTCAAGGGTCTCACCTCAGTCATGGTATTGAGGGTGGAAGAGAGTGCTGGTTATTCACTCCCCCCACCAACAATTCCTGCCACACCTGAGACTTGAACCTGCAACCTTTGAGTTACAAGTCCAACTCTCTAACCATTAGGCCACCATTAGGCCATGACTAAATGTACAAATACCTACAATCAGTAATGAGATTTCTGCTATAGTGTTCCATACAAAAAAATGTTCTACCTACAATAATTGTGAAGTTTTAAAAACTCAATTCATCTAAGGGTGGCACATGCATGAGACTTTGCCATCACATAGACACCTGAGCAATGTACATGTGGTATCAGGAAAAGAACTTTACAAAGTATTTTCTCCACAGACACACTACTTTAAGACGCTGCATTAACGGATCCAGTGTCTGATCGAGTCGACGTGCCTTTAACATTTTCCTCCCCCTCACGCTCTCCATATTCTCTCCCTTCATAGTGACATATTGATCAGACATAATGGGAGGGGGTGGAGGAGTCGTGGTCATTGGGGTCAGCGCCGTGGCTAGACTCCCTCACCCCTATGCATGACCCCCACCCCTCTCCCAACATGACCTCACTGACCCCAAGCTCCCCCTTTCCAAACTGACCACCGATCGGCCTCAGCCACCGTATCCGTCTGACATTGGCAGCTGAAGATGGATAGAGTGACAGTCAATAGTCAATACAGGACAGGTTGTGGAGGGTGGGGGAGGATCCATGTCGATCGAAGGGTGAACGAGGAGGGAGACTGTAGCAGTACAAGAGGCAGTTCACCTAAAAATGAAAAATTCTGCCATCGTTTACTCACCTTCATGTTGTTTCAAACATGTTTGACTTTCTTCCTTCTGTGGACCATAAAAGAAGATATTCTGAAAAATATCTTTGTGCACTCAAAAAATAGTTCAATGAACTTAATTAAATTAAGGAACATTTTTCCACATAATTAGTTTAGATTTGTACAACAAGACTAAAACAAGTTAATTAATACAAATAATGTTTTGTACCAAATTAATGTTCTACCTGTGTTAGATGATAACTAGCAATAGCATGTTAGCTATATTAGCAAGCAATAAGCAACTGATCTCATTACTGGCATATAGTACTTGCTACTATAGTACATACTACTTATCATATAGTTATTGCTAATTGAGTGAACATTGAGTGAACAACAAAATTCAAAAAACAATAGAAACTTGTAAATATCCATCATAACTGAGCATTAAACACTAACAAGTCTTCCTCTTTATTGAAAACATAAAATTACACTTCAATTTCAACAATTTCTCTTAACACAGTCCCATGCAAAACATGCTGAGAACTAAAGATGCCCATTTAATTGTCAACAAAAATTATTTATTTAACTTAAATTTGACAAATTTAAGTTGATTGTTACAAAATGTTCAAGAAGTTTATTGCTTCAGCTAATTTTAACAAAGCAAGCAAAAACCTTTATATATATATATTTAATTCCAATGGGGTCCACTGCTGTTTTAGTACAGAAGTCTTAAGAGGCCATGGATTATGATTATTTTTCTTTCTCGTTTTCTTGTGATCACGACTTAATTATCTCATGATCACGACATTACAAAAGTTGTTTTTTCGTTATCACGAGAACAAGATCACAAGAAAACAACTTGTCATGTCGTGATCATGAGATAATTAAGTCGTGATCACAAGAAAAATAATCATAATCATGGCCTCTTAAGACTTACGTAGTTTTAGACATTGTATGACCAAAAACATTCTTCAGAATATCTCCTTTTGTGTTTCTTAAAAACAAAGAAAGTCATAGTAAATGCTTACAGACGTTTCATTTTCCCCTGAACTATCCCTTTAAGATTCTATTAGCTATTTTAGTTTCATGGGGTTATGGGAAAATTGTGACAATGGAGCCCCAAGGATCTATGAAATATAAAGGTGAAACAAATAAAAAAATGAATGAGTTCCAGTTTCCCATCTCCCTCATCATTTAGGCAAGTAAAAAGGAAACAAGACAGCAGTGACACTACCTGAAAAACATGGTGGGCACAAAGAAAGTCATAGTAAATGCTATGAGTGAGTAAATGCTTACAGACGTTTCATTTTCCCCTGAACTATCCCTTTAAGATTCTATTAGCTATTTTAGTTTCATGGGGTTATGGGAAAATTGTGACAATGGAGCCCCAAGGATCTATGAAATATAAAGGTGAAACAAATAAAAAAATGAATGAGTTCCAGTTTCCCATCTCCCTCATCATTTAGGCAAGTAAAAAGGAAACAAGACAGCAGTGACACTACCTGAAAAACATGGTGGGCTTCCACTCCATTGCTTCCCACTGCCTAGTTATCTCAGATCAGTGAGCTTGAAGGCAATAAGACAGGCCAGGGACAGCACTTTAAAAGCACTGAGACGCAGAGGCGGTGTGTCTGAGCTGGGAGTGTCTTGCACACAGCGGTACACTGTTAGAAAAGCTCCTCCATTTAGCAATCAGCCAATGTCTGGGTCCCTGTGGACACCCTGATGGACAGACAGAGTGCTTCAGTACATTATGAGGTTCGAGGCACATCAGATACCGCTGCCGAGGCTAAAGCAACATCCTCCTACCGGCTGAAAATCTTTAGTGATTGGATAAGAGTGGTGTGATAATGCTAAGCGACCATTTCAATATACAACAGTAAGAGTCATTTATAACAGTAGAGAAGTTAAAAGGGGATCATTAGGATTTCAGATGGTTCAGCCTTTGCCTGAAGCAAGCCATAGGTCTTCCCTCATTAATATACGTCTCGAGTGACATGCAATATTTCTGTTAGGCAGTTTGTAAATGCACCCTAATGACATTATTATTTCAACATTGACTGTAGCGGGGTTAAGTTACACACAGATAAGCCCCTGCAGTCTGCCACTATTACGTTATTAGAAATGTCTTCGAATGGGCTCCTACACTTTCATTAGTGCATCTTAAGTGCTTTTCATCATTAAGTGCGTACTATCCTTTACTTTCATTATTTGGCCTTTTACTGAGAATATGATCTGGTATAGCTTGACATGAACGGGTCAGCACAGCGTTCACATGCTTTATTGCAGAAGAACCGCACGATCAGAATGAACAATCCTCTCAAGGAGCTGAGATACCAATCAGAAAAAAAGAGCCGAATGCAGCTCCGTCAGCCAGCAAATCAATACCAACCATCTTAAAAAGGACAGCATGGGGGAGCGAGCGAAAGACTAATGGAGGAAGACAAGCCAGAGAGTGGAAGAGTAAAGAGATTAATGTAAAAAAGGATTTCCTCTGAAAATGAATCAGTCGGCCAGTGAAATAGAAGGTCAAAGGTAATGGGATTAATGGACATAATTAACTCAACTCTATTTTAAATGAACTCTTTTTGAAAGGCAGCAAAAATATCATTGGTTATTTACCAAGAAACAGTGCTCACCAAGGCATTTATTTCACCATAAATAATGTATAAAACACTGTAAAAACAGGAATTTTGTGAAATAATATTACAATTCAAAAGAGCTATTTTATTCAAACATAAATTTAAAATGTGATTTATTTCTGTGATGCAAAGCTGAATTTTCAGCATCATTACTCCAGTGTCACTTGATCCTTCAGAAATTATTGTAATATGCTGATTTGCTGTTCAAGACACATTTCTTAATATCAATGTTGAAAACAGTTGTGCTTAATATTTTTGTGAAACTGTGAATAATTTCTTCAGGATTCTTTGATAAATAGAAAGTTCAGAAGAAAAGCATTTATTTGAAAAATTAATTTTTAAAAATTTTAATTTTATTAATATTATTACATATTTGTGTGATGCATTGCCCCATTATTTTAAATGACAAAAAAAAAACTTGTTTTTCTATCTCACAGATTGAGAATTATTGTATAAAAATTGTAGTATTAAGTTTGTATAAAAGTTATATTTTTGATCAGTTTATGTAGTGCTATTCTGTCGCATAAAACAAGGTCAGCATACACTGCAGTTGATTTAATGTATTTGCAGTCAACCAATCACACTTACTTGCACAATTTTTTGTAGTAAAAATGACAAGTCTACATTATATTGCTTACTTCCATAAACATAATATAATAATGATTCCCGTTAATGTGTCCTTTACTTTTCATTTCTTATCAACAGCTGATTCTAGCAAGCATGTTTCTTCAGGGTCATCTTTATGTGAGATACAGCATTAAAGCTAACACATTGATCAAGAAGTCTGTGCTTTGTTTATTGTGTTGCTCTCTATTCCTTTAACAGGTGTGTCCATGGCTTTTTGTATACCATCTAATTCATCGCTCTCATCTTCCATCACCACGGCTTTCCATGATTCCTGATGCAGCCTTTCATTCCTTCCTGTTATCTGGGGTGACGGTGTGACTGTTGCCACCAAAGCAGGTGGAAGATGTTTGAACTCCTCCTCATTTATATCAAAATCCATTATTTTATGATCAAGCACCCACCAGCGTCCCGTAAAGCCCACATCCAGCACACGCTTTGGCAGTTCTGCCCAGGGCACAGAGATCGCCGAGCAACGCGCCTCATACAGGCTGGACTCGGAGTCGTACTCTGTGTAATAAGTCAAAGATGCAATGCCCAGACTGGCATAGCGCAGCCTGCCCTCGTTTCGCAGTTTCACAAGGGTCTGGACGAGTCCATCTGAGGTGCCACTGCGTATCCATGGAGACAGCAGAGCCAGACGGTTGGAGGTTTCTAGCAGGCTGGTCTCGAAGGAGGCATCATCAGGGTTGGTGTAATAGCAGGCGTACATTCCTCCCAGAAGCCCCAAGGAGACTGAGGCTTTAAGGGGTCGCTCCCGGGCCCCCAGCACTGCCTCACGACAAGCCTCCTTATAATCGCTTAAAAGACTACGGCACCATACACCTGAAAACAGTGAAGAAACAGCAGATTAACGTTCAGCTAATACAATTTTCGAATTACCACATATTGTATGAAAGATAATGCAATAAGAAAATACTAAAGCAATACTAAATGATATTTTAATGCCACTACAACAGATTTAGAAAACTAGTTAGCAACCTAATACAGCTGTATTTTCGTAGATAAAAAATGAACACGCCTGCACTCAATTGTGCACTCTGACGGACCTCCTAATTGTAATACGAACAGTATCTTCATACTTATGTCAGAAGCAAAAACCATAACCGTGGCTTAGTCTTACCAGCGCGACTGTTTATCAGTCTTTGCCACCTTGTGCCCTTGGTTGTCTCTGTAGCAGCTGTGGAGCACCATCTCTTCAGCAGCCACGAGGCGGCCATGTTAGCGAATGAACTCACGAAGTGTGACAGTTCACAGTTCACGGTGGATGTAGCACAGGAAGAGCTTTCAGCCGCCAGTTTCCAACACTGGCTCAACGTGGCAACGGAGGCTGGTGAAACTGATGAGCCAAAATGGCCAGAAGCACGGTACGTGTAATGTTATTGGCCCGGTGGGGAAACAAAATATTGTATTTTCGGATCCACCATGCATTCTTATGCATATGAGCCATGTCACTAAAACGGGAAAAGGAATTGCAAACAGATAATGTTTTTAAAGTTTTTATGTTAAACAAAAAAGAGAGGTCTAGAATTATTTGTCTCAAATATTTGGATCTGAATTTAGAATTTGACAAGCAAATATCCTTATGTGCTATGAATTTATTTCACAACACTTTTGACAATTTCATATACATGTATTAATAAATATGACTGTCGAATATATGAAAGATGACAGTCGAGAAATAGTTTTTTTTTTTTTTAGCAAAGCAGCCTAATTAAAACAACAAAAATAATAATAGGTACGACACATACAAAAAAAACAGGTAAAAACATTCCAGTTTTAGTTCCGGCTTTGTTCCGGTCACGTGATTGTGCTTTGACTCACTGGAACCCTGCAGGTGACGTGGAATATGGGGACAAAAACGATAAATCCTGCGTATTAAGACGGTATCAAATCTATTCTAGCTACAGTCGAATCGGCTAATGATTTTTTAAGCCTCAGTTAATAAAAAGGCACTATTAAATACAATCCGGGCTGACGAAACAATTGTTTTTGTGCCTGCTTGCTCGAAGCAAGCTTGATTGTTAAAGTTGCCAGAAGGAGTCAGGATTGGTGTAAATTACCGAAGGATTACCTAGCAGCCAGGTGAGCGAATTAACTTAGTCTAAATCTGATTTTGGTGGTGACGGCTGTCGTACGATTATATTGTGTTTATTGTCTTCTTTCCGCGCGGATAGTATTCTTATGAGAACTCCCTAGGAATCCTGTAATCTCCAGTCATGGCTAGTCCACATGAATTAACGTTTCAGGGTAAGGTTTATGTGCTTATATGCACCATCTTGTTTGGTCTCTCTGTCTTTCTGCTTTAATCTTCATTCTGCACGTTTCCAGAGTTTGAGGAAGCCGCCGATCTGCTGTCTTCAAATCCTGGAGCCTCAACCCTCAGCATCTCCAGCCCCGGCGCAGCAGCCCCCTCAGATGTCAAAGTTGATCTGTCGGAAGATGAAGACGATCAGCAAGAGAGTTCAGAGGTGAGCTGCAAAACCAAACAGGCAAATAAGGTCACAAGTAGCTGCTTATTTCTTGTGCATCTTAGTTTAGAGGTCATAGTATAAGCCCCCCCCCCCCCCCCCCTTCCCAC